AATCTGATCTGTTTACTCGTACTACACTTAACTGTCTCCATTATACAGGGTGAGTCATGAGGAACTTTACATACTTCTACCATATGTAGAGTCCCTCAGGGAGCATATCATGTGGCCACTAAAAAATGTCAACTCCTCTTCTTTATTAATTAACAGGGTGATTTGCGTAATTGTCCATTTATTTCATTTTACTGTAGTGTTTAGTAGTACTGTTTTGATAGTAGTACAGTACACTACTATCAAGCATTCGACTGGTATTAGCTAAACTAAAAAATTCCAGGACTGGCTTTGGAAAAATTAATTTAGGGATTCGTATTAAATATTACACCCTGTATATATATATTTTTAAATGAAATAAGTGATTTTCAAACTACATAAATAGCCAATGAAAACGACATATGATAGACATACATAATGAAGTATCAAATTATAAGGTATTAATTTAAACAAATGTTATAAATGTCAAACATTTTAATTAAAATGAGTTCCTACAACATAATCTAATACGTAGAAAATTAACATCTTTACTGTCACTTTGTATTATCTCTACAATACAATCAATTGTTTTTTAATTTTAAATTTTTACTCATAGATCGTATTGGGGCATTATTTTCGATAAATAATAAATTAAATTGATTAAAAAGTCAAACCTCTTGTATGTGTTAGTTTTTGTTGATTGTAAATGATTAAAATTTTATGTCAAATAAAAATACATTGCATCAACTGTACTAATTAAAAATAAATCTAAAAAAGTTTAAAATGAAGGTTGGCGTTGACCATTGACGTTTCTTGATATTTTATACCCATTGTCATTATTGTCATTATCAATTGTTATTTATGTGTACAAGAATACATATTTCTTCTGTCATATCTACGTTAAGTACATTGTGTTAGTTTTGGTAGAGCTTTTGTTACTTTCGTTCAAAATGCCACATCATTTTCGACCACAGAATATGCAGATATAATATTTGTTTATGGATTCTGTAATGGGAATGGTAGGGCTGCTAGTAGAGAATATCGCAGAAGATTTCCTAATCGTCAAACTCCCAGTCATCCAACATTTGGGTCAGTTTTTAATTATTTGCGAGAAAATGGCACTTTTCTAGTGGAACAACAGAGCGACATGTAGATGAAGGGCAGGAAGATGACATTATGGACGCCGTTACAATAAACCCTACAATAAGCACTAGACAAGTAAGTCGAGAACTCAATGTTACTCAATCAAAAGTAAATAGAGTCTTACAAAAAAAATAATCTATACCCATATCACATTCAAATGGTTCAGCGGCTACATGCTGGAGATGAGATCGATAGGTTGGAATTTTGTAGATGGATTAACAATAATCGACCAACGCTATACAGGACACTATTTACAGATGAAGCCCAATTTACCAGAGACGGGATAAATAATTCACGAAATTCACATATGTGGGCAGAAGAAAATCCCCATGCTATTCGAGAACGTCGTTCTCAGTTAAGGTTTTCGGTTAACGTGTGAATTGGTGTCATAAATAACCAATTAGTAGGTCCTCACTTTTTGATGGTCCTTTAACAGGGCAGGTCTATTTGAACTTTCTACAAAATATTTTGCCGAATTTGCTTGCCAACACGAACGTTGCTATCCGAGGGATGTATTTTCAGCATGATGGGGCACCCCCACACTTTTTACTGGCAGTGAGGCAACATCTCAATAATGTTTATGGCAACAGGTGGATAGGACGTGCAGGTCCTATTTCGTGGCCTTCAAGATACCCTGATTTCAATCCCGTTGATTACCATATTTGGAGACGATTGAAGCAACTAGTTTACGCAGTGAATATTAATAACCGACAACAATTAATTGAAAGAATTATACATTGTTGTAATACTATTAGAAACGATCCCCAGAGTATCCGTAATTCAATACGTCAATTAACAATTCGGCAACAAAAATGTGTACAGACTGCAGGGTTCTATTTCGAAAATCTATTTTGAATTATTTTTATTTTGTTACCATTATTGTATCTTTTCCAGTTCTAATTTATGGGTTTATCATAACTATGTACATATTTTTAGTTTTTTTTTAATTGTTCTTCGTTATTGCTAGTAGTTACTGTTTTTTGTTGTGCAGTTACTCAGTTTATCATTTCAATTAAAATGTTTGAAATTTATAACATTTGTTTAAATTAATTACCTTATAATTTGATACTTCATTATGGTTGTTCTATTTTTGGTAAGATTTGATCGTTCACTAAAAATTTAATAAAAGTGCGACAACATTGTCGCATATGTTGTTTTCATTGGCTATTTATTTAGTTTGAAAATCACTTATTGCATTTAAAAAAATATATATACAGGTGTATTATTTAATACGAATTCCTATTATCGAATACGAATTAATTTTTCCAAAGCCAGTCCTAGAATTTTTTAGTTTAGCTAATACCAGTCGACTGCTTGATAGTAGTGTACTGTATCATGCAAAAATTAAAAAAAAATCAAATGAGCCGTATAAACACTACAGTAAAATGAAATAAATGGTCAATTACACAAATCACCCTGTTAATTAATAAAGAAGAGGAGTTGACATTTTTTAGTGGCCACATGATATGCTCCCTGAGGGACTCTACATATGGTGAAAGTATGTAAAATTCCTCGTGACTCATCCTGTATAAAATAGTTTCTAATATGAGTACGCGTATTCGTACATTTCGTTATGAGGCTGGAAAACTTAATGAGACTGAATTACAAATTCGTTTCAAATCCTGTGGTTAACATTCTCGAAAATTATTTTTATCAGTTCTTTTTTTAATATCTATACTGATTATATAATTACTGTTTTAAAGATAAAACAATCTTTATAAAAGCACATTTCATTTATTGTTTAATTAATTAATACAATATTTTGGGGTTTCTCAATATTCTCAAATCGATTAAATACTGCAGAAGTGAAGGCAAGCCAACTGTATATGTTGAGATGAAATCTCTCGATATTTATGCATGCTTCATTGATTACCATAAAACGTTGGCTACAGTAAAACACGACAAGCTGATGGAGATATTAACAAATCAAAAAAATTAATAGCGAATAATTATTGATTAAAGAATTATTAGCCATCTTTACTGGAATCAAACATCGCCTATCCGTACAGACAGAGGCAGGAGAATGCGATGATATCAAAATCAAACGTGGGGTCTGACAGGGATGTATACTATCACTAGCTGTTCAACATATACCCTGAGGAAATATTATAAGAAGCATTAGAGAATGTTGAGGCCGGAATGCGAATTAACGGAGAATCATTAGATACGCGGATAACAAAGTGGTATTCGCTGACAGATATTATCCCCTCCAGTGTTAATGAATAGGATTACAGAAATGAGTCAGAGATATGGACTTTCACTGAACATTAAGAAAACAAAATGAATGATTATCTCTAAGAGAGATCAGCAAATTGAAAGAATCGTGTGAATGGTCAACCAATAGAAAGAGTAAAAACATACACCTACCTTGTACGAACGTCATTCCCTAGAAATAAAATGTAAAGAATAGAAAAGCAAGATCTGCATTTAAAAAAATGGCCAAGCTTTTCAAATGTCATGAATTATCAGTACCTATAAAAATCAGGTTACTCGATGTTATATGTTTCCTATACTGTTGTACGGAGTTGAGTCGTGGACTCTTAAAGACGCTACCTGCAAGACAATTGAGGCTTTCAAAATTTGATTTCATCGTCGAGTCCTAAAAAATATCCTATACCGACCACGTTACTAACCAGGACCCTTTATTAAGAATGCAAAAATGAAAAGAATTGTTAACTACAATAAAAAAGCAAAAATCGAATACCTCGGTCTTCGAGGTATGAGAGAGATGAAATCTTTTTATATACATGCAGACCAACTACGCCGAATAGCTGTCAGATAATTAGTGGTAATGGATTGTTCAAAAACATTTCAATAAGAAGTAGGTTAGTTATTAGTTATCATACACTGTGTGGGCAAATAGATTTCATACCAAATGATGTTTTGATTTGTACATTATTGCGAAGTCTGGAAATTATCATGATGATATGAATGCAGACAATTACGAAAAATGGTTTCTATCTATTCTATGGCAATCTATTTGCATTTTTTTCACATCGAAATATGACAAATATATAATGTAATGAAATAATTCGTAATAATAACAAGCTTTCGTAAAATTCAAGAAAGTACTGACTTGTTCTGAGTTCGATCTTCAACTGAGGCTAAGGTTTACTAAGTGCTACGTATGGTCAGTGCTGCTATATGGCGTAGAGGGCTGGACACTTCAAACGAGGGATATAAACAGATTGGAAGCTTTCGAAATGTGGCTTTATCGCCGTATCCTAAAAATAACCATGGACAGCGAAAATCACAAATATAGATGTCCTTAAAAGAATAAACCAAGAACGCCAACTTTTCGAAACCATCAAGAAAAGGAAAACGGCGTATCTAGGTCACATCATGCGAAATGAAAAATACCAGTTCCTCCAACTTATAATCGAGGGTAAAATTGAAGGCAAGAGAGGAATGGGACGCAAGAAAATGTCCTGGCTCCGAAACATAAGGCAATGGACAGGATTAACGACATACAATCTCTGATACATATTGCAAGAAATAGAGAATTAATGGAAAATGTGATCGCTAACATCCATTAGTGGATTTGCATCTGAAGAAGAAGAAGAATGAAATAATACACCTGATCCGTCTGTACCAGATATTGATATGATTTGTTCATAATTTGATTAAAAATTGAAGTCAACAAAAGTAAACCAATAAAATTTTGAGTTCTATCTTATCCATATTATGAAGATCACTGAAAATTCTACTATGAAATATTTGTCTTTAGCCAGAAATACGTCTTCCATTCTAAAATAATTGCAAGAATTTCTTCATAAAAAATTCAGTTCAGAAAATTTAACTACAATATTATGTTTTAAAGTGTGGATTGCTCTAGGAAGGATGTAAATGTTTCAATCCAAAGCGATTTTACCATAAAAAAACTATTCAAGTCCTTCTTCAGTTTGAGGTTCTTCTTCATCATTTGTTTCGATTTCACTGTCTATATCATGCTCACTTATTATAAAGTCATTGTTCGAATCAACATCGCTAAAATCACATTAATTTTATTCTGCCTATTTTTAAGCAAAGTCTGGTCAAAATTACTCTCACTAAATTTTAGCTTCTTTGAAGGCCCAGCCATATTTATATTTGTAGATTTATTAGATGTTAATAAATTAAACAAAACTTAGAAATCACATATGATAAATTCGAAAATGTTACCTTGTTACAGACTTGTTACCTTAGATAAATATTTTTTATGATGTCGCACGAGGGTGCGAAGAATCCCCGGGTTGTAGGAGGCTATCAAGAACAACGAACGCTGAACATAATTACGTATGATGTGAGAACCTTATCTAAGGATGAAAAAAATGACGGAACTGGAGGAAGAACTCAAACATGTGAAATGGGATATTATAGGGATTAGCGAAGTCAAAATAACAGGTGAAGATCAGGTCAAACTAAAATCAGGCAACATATTCCACTATAAAAGGGAAACAGAATCGACAACTGGAGGAATATGTTTATTAGTACACAAAAAATTACACAAAAATTATACAGAGCATTGACTGCATTTTCCAAAGAGTTATGCATATAAATCTAGGACTAAATAAGAGACACAATCTGAAAATAATCCAGGTATACGTCCTCATCAGCGATTATGAAGATGAAATTGTTGAAGCCTTCTATGAGGAAAACGAAAGAGCAAAAAAGCAGGAACCGATTCATTACAATCTAATATTAACGGGAAACTCGAAAGGAAAAAGGACGAACAAGAAGTGGCAATCGGAGATTTTGGAATCGGAGTAAGAAACGAAAGAGACGAAATGTTTACCAACTTTTTACTGCAACACAAACTGTATACAATGAACACCTTTTTTAAGAAGAAACAGAATAGAAAATGGACGTGAGCTAGTCAAGACGGAAGAACTAAGAGCGAATATGATTATATAATAACAGAAAAAACGCAAATTATTCAAGATGTCACTGTACTCAATAAACTATCAGTAGGAAGCGACCACAGACCAGTAAGAGCTAGAGTAACGATAAACCTGTAAAAAGAAAGAGCAAAGATGATAAATAGTTGCAAACGCCTAGTTTGGAATTCACCAAATCAGCCAGAAGCATACATAAAAAATATAGCCGAAACTTTACAGAGTAATAATCACAAACTTCTAAGTATCGACGATCACAATAAATTAATAACAGACTCTGTTAGAAATGCACAACTCAAATTTTGCAAGAAAAATGACAGCAAAAGTGAAAAGATTAACAAAGATACAAAAGCTCTAATGGAAATACGACGAAACCTAAGCGAGAACGAAAAGGGAAACAAAGAAGAATATAGAAAACTGAATAAAAGAATTTCAGCGGAAATTAAAAAGATGTAAGAAGATATAATACTAATGATATTACTCAAACAGTAGAAGAGAACAAAATTTTAAAGATAATGAAAAGAAACTCACACAAAGTAAAAAAGAAATATTCAAACTGAGATATAAAGACGGAAAGGCAACAACAGATAAACAAAACATTCTGAAAATAACCAGAGACCTCTATACCAGCCAAAGACCACAAGACAATTTCCCGATACTAGTAAAGGCTCTCATAAATCAGGGATCGGAAATACTTTTACCCATTACTGTGTCAGAAGTAAGAGCAGTTTTAAAGGAAATGAGGAACCATCGATCGCCTAGTGATGATGGACTCGTTATTGAGGCAATAAAAGTAGGAGGAAAAATTCTATTAAAATCAGTAAGTGAACTGTTTAACAAATGCTTACATGCGGGTACGATTCCAAAAGACTGGAACAATGCAGTGATAGTTTTGTTACACAAAAAAGGCGATATTACTAAATTAGAAAATTATAGACGCATCAGCCCTCTTGAAAAATATGTACAAACCCTTTATGAAAATCTTAACAAAGAGACTAATACCTAAACTTGATTTCTATCAGCCTAAATAACAGGCAGGCTTCAGGGCAGGATATGGCACAAATGACCATTTGCATACCATAAAGATCTTGATCGAAAAGTGGATTGAGTATAACATACCATTGGTTCTTGCATTTGTCGATTACGAGAAGGCTTTTGATTCTGTAGAGTTTGAAACAGTACTGGTAGCCCTAAATTAAAGCCGAATATATTACAGGTACACGACACTAATCAAAAACCTCTACGAGAACGCTACATCAAGTATACGACTACACGAAGACACAGAAAAATTCAGCTTAGGTCGAGGAGTTAGACAAGGAGACAATATTTCACCAAAATTGTTCACGGCAGCTCTAGAGTCAATATTTAAGAACACTCAATGGCAAGATATGGGCATCAATATTGATGGAGAAAGATTAAATCATCTAAGGTTTGCAGATGATGTTGTATTAATCGCAGATTATTTACAGGATACAGTTTCTATAACACATTCGCTTAAAAGTCTGTCTGAAAGAGCAAGATTAAAGATGAACTTTGAGAAAACTAAACTTATGACAAATCTCATAATGAGTGGACATATAACTATTGACAATAATACCATACAACAAACAGACACTTACATGGACAAATATCTGGGACACGAGATCAAAATAAGCAGAGACAATCAAACACATGAAATAGAGAGGCGAATAGGCCTGACATGGGCAGCAAAAAAAGCAAATTAAGCCATATTCTAAAAATATCAATTCCCATGTGTCTCAAGTGAAAGGTTTATAACCAATGTGTTTTGCCTGTACAAACTTATGGAGCAGAGACTTTAACACTCACGCAAAAATCTGCGAATAAACTCAGAGTTACACAACGAGCCATGGAACGTGCAATGCTGAACGTGAGCCTTAGAGACCACATAACAAACCAACAAATCAGGCAAAGATCAGGAGTTCAAGACGTCGTCGAAAGAACCACGACGCTTAACTGGAACTGGGCAGGGCACTTAGCCAGAACTCAAGATGGACGGTGGACAAGACGTATTATGGAATGGAGGCCCAGAAACTATAAAAGAAGCCGAGGACGACCACCGACTAGATGGACCGATGTCCAACAGTGGACGCTATTGGCTGATTGATGATATTGACCGGAGTATTATATTAAACTTCGTTAATAATAAACATATTAGGAACCCACATGAATATAACATTACACCTATCGATGCAGAACCGAACGACCCTTCACATACTTTTTGTTGATACGATAATTTAATATCAATTTTAAAACACCTCTTATATAGGCCGTAGGAAAATTCCACTCGTAATACTCCAATGAGGATATAATGAAAAAGAGCTACAATTTTGTGTAATTGGAAAATGTAGATGCGGGGACGAAGTAATAAAACACTCCTTTATAAAGCTAAGTATAAATTTCAATTTATCACATAAGGCTACAAAAAATTTAAAGCTGATTTATGTTTATAATTTAAAAGGAGCTATTGCAGATTTGTCGTAAATTATCGAAAGTAGCTGTTCATCCGAGTATATTTAGCTCGATAATCGAACAGATAAACACTTCCTAAATTGTTGAATGCTTTGGACTAGTTTATTAACATTTTTATAATCAATTAACAAGACAAATTGAACTTGTTGGTGATGTAAACTTTTTTTAATAGTATCTACATAATTCAAATATTTTACTGTACACACACTGACGTTTACTCTTGTTTTTTGAATATTTTCTGCTTAATCCCTACTTTTTTTTCTTTTTTAAGTCAATCTATATAGCATAGCACGAATTAAGATACTTAAAACTAGTCTGCACTCCCACACAGATTTTAGAATGTAATTTTTTTATTACATTTATTAAACTAGACGAATTCGGTTGCGCGTGTTTAGTAGTGCGAGAGCCAACAATTAAACGTTGATAATATTGACTTATAGTGTCTCTCAAAAAACGCACAAAAAACTAGATATAATCTTCAATAAAGATATAAAAGTATAATATATTGAATTACAACATTTTTGGCACATCCACAGAAAGTATTATAATGTCAAAGCTATCAGTGAACAAATGAAACTGAAAAAAAAAAATAGTTTAATAATAATAGTTTAGTTTTGAGTCTAAAGGTATTATTAGTACTTTGTTTACCGGTAGGAAAAGCTTAACATTCCTGGACGACTGTGAAGATTGCTAAGTCGAGGCGCAAGCCGAGACTTAGCAACACAGAGTCCAGGAATGCGGCTTTTCCTACGAGGTAAACATACTATTTTTCCGCAAATCGTTTAAACTTCGACAGATATTGATTGATTTTAAAAAAACGCGATAATTTTATTCCCAAATAAATGGTGCTTTGAAATTCCTAATAAAATTACTTGGGTTACTACGGAAACGTATTGAGGTTGAATTGTCAAACTTGACGCTTATAAATTTAATTGCTGGTGTTCTCGAAAGTAAAATGATAAGTGATGATGAAATTTTCATTCCTGGGACTCCTCCAGAGCTGGTTTAGGCAGTGAATACTGCTTCATTAGAATTATTGCCAAAGAAATCAAGAGAAAAGTACGAAAATGCATACAGACGTTTTATGGATTATCGCATGAGTAAAAATACGAGTTCTTTCTCAGAAAATGTTGTATGGCATACTTCCTAGACCTTTGTTTAAAGATGAAATCTTCAACATTATGGGCCAATTATTCAATGCTGAAGTCAACCCTTGCACTTAAACACAATGTAGATATATCTACATACTCAAAACTTCGTTCTTTATTGAAACGGCAAGCTCAAGGTTATAGGGCAAAGAAATCTAAGATTTTAACGAAGGAAGAAATTGAAAATTTATCCAGGAAGCTCCAGATAAAGAAAATTTAATGATTAAGGTAATTTACAAGGTTTTAATTTCTATTTAGATTATAGCTTTATTTATTTTTTAGGTGGCTGTAATATTGGTATTTCTGGGCCTGTAGAATGGATGAGTTAGTCCGAATGACTGTACACGATATAGAAGACTTAGAATCTAAGCTTTTAATCAGCATACCTCATTCGAAAACCAACAAACAAGATCATTTGTAATTAATCAGATCTACTTGAATGTTTATCGAAAGTATGTTTCGTTAAGACCAGAAA